CTACAGCAACCAGATCTGTGTAGGCGTAACCCAACAGTGCTGCTGGGCCTCAGCTGCATTGTGTTTCTCTCACTTTCTGCCCAAGGCTTTTCTGAAGCCACAATGGGAAAGCCTACAGGAACTCACAGGCACTCATGCCTGTGAGCTCTAAATGTGGGAGGAATTAACACCCCAAGGGGCAGCACTTGACTAATGGGGTATGAGAACTGGTGCTCTCCAATTCTGAGATGCACCTCAAAATGTGCCATGGGAGCCCTGGCCGGCGTGGTTCAGTGGTTAGAGGGTCAGCCTGAGCACTGAAGGGTCTTGGGTTTGATTCCCAGTCAGGGGCATGTACCTGGGTTGCAGGTTGATCCCCAGCTCCGGTTGGTGCATGTGCAGGAGGCAACCAATTGATATATCTCTCTCATATCCATGTTTCTCTCTCTATCTCTCTGTCTCTCTCCCCCTCCCTCCCTCTCTTCCACTCTCTCTAAAAATCAATGGAAAAAATATCCTCAGGTGAGCATTAACTTAAAAAAAAAAAAAAGGTGTCATGGGATCAAACCAACTCATCAGCTCAGCCTTGAACTGGCTATCCCCAGGGCCCAGTAAACAGGGGTGGCTGGTCACCCTACCAGTTTCTCACTCCTGCACTCTGGAATCACCCCCCAAATAAATTCCCTTCAAGCAAGTCCTTGTCTCAGGCTCTGTTTTCAGAGAGAACACAGGCAATGACAATTCATTGGGGTCTCATTGGGGTACCTGCCTGTTTCTGAGATCTGTTTCTAATCAGTTAAAAATAAGGACATCAAGTTGCAACTGGCTAAGAACATCAATAGAGCATCCAGAAACACTGCAGTTTGTTTCCTGTTGTTGTGGATTATTGTCTTGTGGCTTTTGCCAAATGTTCATGGGTATGAATCCAGAGAATACAGGTGGAGTCTTATCTGCGATCCTGCCAGCAATCAGAGCAGATGAAGAACTCCTGTATTTCTGTCTTCTGGAATAAATATTTCTAGTTTCTGGGTAAGAGCTTTATCTGATTTGAAGTTAACTTGTTTTCTTTTCGAATTAAAGCACAGATAAGTGAATTTTCCCTGGAGGCTACAAACGGCAAAACTCTGGACCACACTAAGGTTGTTTTCTTCCAGAGCAAGGAACTACTGCCCCCTAGAGGATAGATATGTGTATGATGGTTTGGGAAAGCTCAGGGCTGGAGATGTGTTTTCTGAATGTATGCATGGTTTCTTCTCCCTAGGGGGAAAAATGCTCCTGCTTAGTCTTTAGATTGTCTAATAATTAAATTATTGTTCTGTTGTTTGAATGAAAGATTTGCTCCCCGTGTAAAACCCCAACTGCACTGTGTTTGAATTGGTATGAATTGAGGGATTGGGAGTGGGGGTCCAAGGTGTTGAAACCTCCAGAGTTTTCAGCTTGCTTGTTTCTGGAGGGTTGGTCTGGACACACTATAGATGACACGGAAATGAATTTAACATCAAAGATACTTTTGAATTATTTAGGCCTCCTCTAGATTTGTAGAAAACACTTCTATAATGTCTCTCAACCTCAGTGGATTTCCTATTTGTATTGGTTTCAAGAGACCTCTGAGCGCTTATATAAATCTAAGATAAAGGGATTCAATGTTTCCAGGGGGAAAAATTAAGAAATCAAGTCACACCTCCATTACTTTAAATGTGCCAGCCCTTTACGAAAACCCCTCCAGGATGAGAAAAGAAAACCTTCTAAATCACAGGACACTTTGTGTACAAGGAGACTTGAGCTGTAAATTGCGCTCTGTAATTTATGTTAATACATTTAAATAGATTAAAAATTAGTCTTCAAAGGGATGAATCTTTAATGGCTTTTTACTTAGGGAAAAAAACGGCTTCCAAGTGAAAAAAATAAAATTATTCAATTGAGTATTTAACCCTTTGGGTAAAAGGTAAATTTTCCATTCTTATAGGAATAAAACAAAGTATGTGTAAATAACCTTGGGAAAGAAATGGGCTGTTAATACAGATTTAAACACTATTCCAAATCTAAGCCCTTAATTCAAAATTTTTGGATGGGAAAATATAGCTCATGGCTTCAAGGTTCCTGCTAAGTTCCAAATTAAACATGCAGATAAGGCCCAATAATACGCAAATTAACATCAGGCCCCAAAATTGGTTGTCACAAAGATTTTAAGAAATCCTTCAGACCTATGGGCAGACCTATGGGCTCTATCCTACCAGGAGTACTAGTTTTCATTGCTTAATTAGAATAACCCCTCTTAACACTTCACCCCCTCCCTTTCCCTGGTCTATTCAAGGTTTAAAGAATTCCATTATTCTGTAAAACAAATATAAGGAAGCCCTTGATTCCCTGTGCCAAGTGCCCTGTGTGGAGCCGCGCTTCCTCCCAGGGATTTCCCTTTGCTGCTCTCACACAAAACACCACCACTCCACTTAACATTTACTGGACTCAGATTCAGCATAGTTGTTTTTTTTTTAATTTTCACCCAAAGATATTTTTTTCATTGCTTTTCAGAGGGAGTGGAAGGGAGAGAGAAACACCGATATGAGAGAGACACATTGATTAGTTGCCTCCCACACCAGCCCCGACTGGGGCCGAGGATGGAGCCTGCAACCAAGGTAAGTGCTCTTGATGGGAATCGAACCCGGACCCTTCCGTCTGAAAGCTGATGCTCTAACCACTGAGCCAAACCAGCCAGGGCAGATTCAGCAGTCTTCATTTGTATTCCGTTGGGAACCCACAAGCTCCCTCATTTCTTCTCTAGAGTTCCCTCTTTCTAAAGTAATTTGAACCTTGTTTAATGATGTCAGCATGAACTCAAAACACTGACGCTGCTCTTCAACTTTTCAGTCTCTTCAAGGTGTTTTCCTACCTCTTCCCAAGTCAAGGGAAAGGGGCGCCTGGCCTGCCTGAGAGTTGCAGACCGTGAAAGTGTGCGCCACGCCGCCTGGTAGCGGAGCTGACGGTGACAGGGAAACGGTGACAGGGTAGAGCAAACTCAGTTGCCCTTGCATCCTGAAGGGGCTCCTAAGTGTCGGGCTGAGAGCTGCAGCCCTCACTCTCTTCAATCGAACACCCTAGCACTTTCCAATCTCTACACGAAGCTGCTGTGAGGGGGGAGGGGGAGAACCCTTCTACCCTTTCCTGCACACAAGCACTTCAGCCAGTGTGTCTCCTGAATGTTTCTCATTTTGCCATTTTCTAAGGAAATATCTGGAACAATTTAGTTGTTTGAATTCTAAGAGAACAATGTTGGTTTCTGCTGAGTCAGTATCTGGTATTTTAATGAGCTCAGTCTCTCTCGAAGCACAGGCCAAGTGTGTGTCCTCTGAATGTTGATTTTGTTTGACCAAGAGTCTTGCCAGAATCCTAAAGTTTGGACCCTCGATCTGATTGGGTATCTGAGAATCCTCCCATTCAGGAGGAAGAATGCCTTCTGGGTATGAAGGTGCATTTTCTATGATCTCTTTCAGCTTCAGAATTAATCTTAACAGGTTTAACAAGTTGTCAGGGTCAGAGTGGGGCTGGGCGGAGCAGACAACCTTTAAATTAGCTGCTGTTTGTGATTTGGAATTGGGGGAGGAAAGGCAAAGAAGGAAGTTACATCCTTCTAACCTTGCTTGTGTTCGTTTATCAGATAAGAGTTCTGCTTTATTCATTCCCCGGGGCATTTTGCAACAATGTGCCTTTTCACCTAGGAGATCAACAGGCATAAAATGGAATGCTTTATTTCATCAAAGTGGTTCTTTCTGCTGAAGTTGATCAGCAATCATAAATTTTTAATGATCCCTGTATGCCAGATGCTTTTTTTTAATTTAGAGAGAGAAAAAGGGAGAGGGAAAGAGAGAGAAAAACATTGATGTGAGAGAGGAACATCTATAGGCAGTCTCCTGCATGCCCCCTCCCAGGGATTGAGCCGAAAACCTGGGCATGTTTCCCAACATGAAAAGGAACCAGCAACCTTTCAGTGCATGGGGAAGACGTCCAACCCACTGAGCCACACTAGCCAGGGCTGTATGCCAGATTTTAACTAGCAAAGAATTTAGGGATTTATTGTAGCCAATTATGTGCAGACCTATGGGCTCTATCCTACCAGGAGTACTAGTTTTCATTGCTTAATTAGAATAACCCCTCTTAACACTTCACCCCCTCCCTTTCCCTGGTCTATTCCCTTCCTCTGTTTCTTACCTCTGTTTTATTCTTTGACATGAATTACATAACCTCAGTGCCTCGATAATAAAATTAGAAAAAAATAGAACTTACCTCATAGGGTTGTTATGAGACTAAATGACTAACCATGTAAAGTGTTTAGAACAACGTGTGTCTGATATATAGTAAGCACCCAATACATTAGAGCTACATTGTTATTACTATGTCAAAATTTTTTTCTTTATAGTTTGTGCTTTTTGGTCTTATTTAAAAAAATACTTCCCCAATCAATAGGGAGCTAGTATTAAAGAGAATTGGTTTGGTAACTGCTTGAATTTCTGGTGGGGTGGCATAGAGAGAAGGATTTTGTTAACACAGCTCTTGTATTTTTGGCTCAGTCAATCAGGGCTTCAAGGATATTTGTGAGAAGTTTAAGACAGGAACCCTCTCAACTGTGAAAATGCCAGCATCACATCTAATGCCTTGGGAGAATGTCCTGAGCAAATAGTACAACTTGTAGTAATGTCTAGTCACAGAAAAGCAAGGTGTGATTATAAATGGTTTATTTCTTTAGATTACAACATTCATCAAAATTAAATTGCATTTTAAAGACTGTTACTGCTGACAGTGTGTCAAAGCATTGCTTTTTAATCATAGTGAAGTGCCGAGAGACTAGGGACTTATCTCAGGTAGTACATTTGAAGACAGAAAGCATACTGTTGCAGACAGACCCAGTAGATCCCTTAGATGTCTTGGGGGACATGAGTACTAACATAAGCCACAAAATGACCCTGTGTTCCTCCCTTCCTAATACCCCGTGCGGAACCAGGCACCAGGCAGGGGAAGGTTACACTCTACAGGAACAGCAGCGCGAGGAGGCCAGGCGGCAGCAGCAGAATGAATGCAGGACTTCCTCTCGTTCCTGCAATGGGAGGAAGAGAAGGAAAGGTTCATCTATAGTGTTTCGTAAGACATGGGCTTCCCAAACTTTTCAAGTTTTATCCAAGGGTCAAAAAACCAAGAGGGTAGGCTCTAGGAGTTCCTTATACTTTGCAGCAGTTAGATTCTCCTTTCACCTTTCTGGGATTCCTGAAGTACTCAGGAATACCAGAGAGAGGGTTGACTGTGAGAACACATCCTTTGGGGTCTCTGAATTTAAGGCCACCTTGAGGGACTGAGTTCTTAAGGCTTATGGGCCGCTCAGACCCTCCCATTGCCACTTCTTAGGCCCCTGTGCTCCCAGCTACAGGTGCCTCGGTAAGGAAGGCTTTCCCTACCTGCAGCCTACAGCCCCTGGCCACTGTGGCAGCCCCTCCATGCTTGTCTTTGTCGCCTTAGGAATACGTTTCCAGGTCTGGATCTCATGAACATTCATCTTTTACGGCAACACATATACTCCGTTCTCCACCAACTAGTGTTAACTGGAGTTCTGTCTCTGGGTGGGATCTGGCTTCCTCTCCTGAGGTTCACAGCTCAGCCTGCCCGAATCTGACTGAACGTCAAGCACTGGGCCTGAGATGGGGGGCAGCAGCTTTCCTTTGCTGGACTGTTTGCCTGGCTATCCTGTTTTTATTTGGTTTGATCTAAATTCAGAGTTTCTACATGTAAAAGTTGTGGTCCATTTCTACCCCAAACATTTCTCTCGTTTCCAGTAGCCTTTCAGAGCATAAAGTCTAATTTGGTTGAAACTTGTTGGATACTCAGTCCCTCTGCAGCTCAGATCCACTTCTGGCTGGACCCTGGCATCTCAAAAAAACTTAACTCACTTAAGCAACAAATCCTGGAGCCCTGACTCAAGCCAGGCATTAATGACAGGCCCTGGGTACAGAGGGGACAGGAAGACAAAGTCTCTGGCATTAAAGAGATCACCAGACTGTAAGCAAATTATCATAGAAATGGTGAGTGTATGGCTGAGATACCTACAAGGTTCTCCATGGGGAAAAAAAGAGGCAGTATTTGTTGAACAATATCTACGTGCCAGGCAAAAAGTTAAGAACTTCTTTAATTCTCACAGGCACACTACTGAGGTAGTACTATTTGTATCCTCATTTTACAAATGAGGCAATTGAGACACAGATCGCTCAGGTAACTTGCCCAAATTCACAGAACAAGCAGTAGATTACCATTGAGGTTGTCTGACCCCAAACCTGTAGTAAGGAGCATGGTAAAATCTTTCATTTTGCCTGAGAGTATCAAGGAAAGCTTATGATTGGAAGTGATATTTGCGCTAGGTCTTGAAAGGTAATTACTAAATTGATAGTGTCTTAGATAGGATGAAATATGACACAAAGTCAGAGATTTCAGGCCAAAGGGAAAGATGGGTGTAAATGCATGGAAACCTGAGAGCCAGGACACCTTGGGAAAGGTTGGGTAAATGGAGGCAGCCCCTGGTGGCACTTTCTCACCCATCACAGGACTGGACAGGTAATAGCCTTCCAGCCATTACTGATATGCCTTCACTGAGGTTTGTGTCCTCTGGTTTCACCATCTCTAACCTTCATCAGTCTAGGTATCATCCTTGTGCATGTGGTCTACTATATGACCCATTTGTGCAAAACCTTTCAGCTCTTTGATCTCCTCAGCTCCAATACTATTCACCTGATTTTCAATCTAGCCAATTGCTTCTATGGAAATGTCCTCCAACCAACTCAGAACCCTTAAACTACCCACACTGGAAATCTCAAAATCCACCATCCTGTTTTCTAACCACACTCCTCTTTCACTCAGCTTTCACTCACTTTCTCCTAGAACACCTCATGGAGAACACCTCCCTTGGTCACCACGGCCACTGACTCAGTTCAGGTGCCCTCATCTCCTGGGAGGATTAGTGCAGTGGCCACACTGTTCTGCCTGGGACCAGGTCTCCCAACTTCCCTAAACCTTTCCTATACTCCCTAATATATCAGTAGTTTCCATAACTCATGTTCCCTGGTGCCCAGCAGATCTTTCTAACCTTTCTGCACAGCAGGGAATTTGAGAGCATGGCTGGACTAGAAACTTCCTGACCTGCTCACTATTCCGGGATATCAGCCCTGTCTTTTTAGGAACCCAGTACTCTTCAGCAGTTGGTTGAAGGCCCCATTGTTCTCTACCCTGGTGGCTTCTGGCAGCAGAGCACACCCTCTTTTGTTTCATGATGCCTCCCCACTCCCACCTGGAACACAGTCCCGACTCACCTGAGCTGTTGAAATTCTCGTATGGCTTTTTATTGTTAGTGGAACTGTAGAAGCAATTGTAGTTACTCTTAAATTTTTTGGAACTGTTAAGTGAAATGTTATTGTTATTTTTGATGACCTGCTGAAACACCTCGTAGCCTGGAATTAGCACTTCCCTTTCACTTGGATAGAAAGAGAATTTTGAAATGTTAACACCCAAGCAGGTTCTGATGGTAAACAGTGTTATGTAACCTCCAAAATATATAGCTACCTCTTCAGAAAAAGAAGATGAGGTAAATTGGCCAAAACGTACATTTCCTCCCCCGTGATAATCAAACTTTGTTGTACAGCCTCTATAAACCGTGTAACACTCATTTTCTATATTGAGAAGCTGCAGAGCTCTTGTCAAATAATAATGGAAGGCTTTGAACTGAAAGTTACTTGGATTTTGACGGAATTCTCTTACAGCTTTGTTAAATTTTGTTGCAACGTTCCCAGTATAGGCCACTAGAGCTATTCCTTGGAAATCAGTGAGGTGTTTCGAAGAGTCTATTTGGTTCTTTATTTCATCCCATCGTTTTGCTGCCTTTTTCCATTCATCTCTTAATTCTTTATTCACTTCCAGTTCTTTTTTTAACAGCTGGGGTGCTTGTTTCTCCATTTCTTCAGTGCAGCCCTCATACTGATCATCAAATGAGTTGTAAGCCATGTCTAACTTACATGAATCAGCTTTCTGTGCCCAACCGGTCACCTGTAAAGAAGAGGTGGTGTTCTTTGACCCATTCGCATGTCTGGATGCTGCCCAGAGCCCACGGTGTGCACTTCTTGCTCAGCATGAAATTTGACATGGTCCTGTCATAGGGCTCATGTATGGTACACACATGAAGACAGCCTTATTATACCATGAGTAGTGTAAAAAGAAAAAACTAGGTTTTGTTAGTCTGTTTTGTTTCCTGATATTTAAAAAAATCTTTTCAGATCCATGCTCTCTAACTGGCTTTAGCCTCATATTCAACTGTAGGAACTTGATAGTTTCAAAGATGTGAGGAGAAAGCAAGGCTAGCAGGATGGGGGTGGGAGGGGATGATATATGTTACCTGTTGTATTAGCCCCTGAGTTAGGAACAAAAAGAGAACTGCTATGGCCTGAAGACAGGTCATCTCCAAGTTCAAAGGTAACTGCAAATAAATATAAAATAATGAAAGTGAGGTGTGAGCATTTGTTTCACTGCGAGTGTGCCAATGACTGTCCCTACTTCAAATCTGGAAGTCCAGGCTCCTATTTATACTGTTTTCTGCACAGCTAACCAGGATTTCTGTCTGGGTCCTGCACGCAGGGAGGAGTGAATCTGACCTCTGGCCTTAGGTAGGGAGCTGGTAGGTAAAGAAACAATCCTGATTGGAGGCAGAGCTGCGTGTCACATTTTAGTGGGCCCTTCACAGGCCCTGACATTTTACTCCCCCATAGAAAATTACTATAAGTCCTTTCAAAGATGTATTTGTGTGTGTGTGTGTGTGTGTATTTAAAGTGAAATTTATTACAATACAATAAGTGCAAGTGTTATTAAAAATGGTGGTTAAAATTATAAAGTGTCTATATAATTTTTCTAATATAAATATTGGAAATAGTAACTTCAAGAATTCTATATGTACAGAGAACATTGAAAACATAAAATCATGCACGAGATTAAAATATAACTTTGCAGCCCGGCCGGCCGTGGCTCAGTGGTTAAGCGTCCTAGGATCCAGGTGATCAGGGTTCGATACCTGGTCAGCGCACATGCTCGGGTTACAGGCTGCAGCCGATCAATGACTCTCATCATTGATGTTTCTAGCTCTCTCTCTCCCTCCCCTTCCCTCTCTCTGAAATCAATAAAGATTTATTTAAAAATAAAATAAAAAATAAAATAAAATATAACTTTGCATACTGTCCTTTTAGGTATCACTTTTATCTTCTTGTCCCAGTATGATTCCAGAATATAAGGAGGTATGCTAATTACTCAGATTACAAACTTAAAGGGTCAGTGTTTTGAATGTATGTCAGTTATCACACATTAACAACACTCGAAAATCACTGCTTCTACTATTCTGATCAAATATTTCTAATTCCCATATGTTCCTTTCTCAATAGGTCTTGGACATAAAGTCGAGCTAGAAAAACTGTAATTATAGGATCCAACATGATATGTATTCCTAATGACTCACTTAAAAGTGGCCTAGCCTGGCCAGGTGTGGCTCAGCGGTTGAGCATTGACCTAGGATCCAGGTGATCGGGGTTCGATTCCCGGTCAGGGCACATGCCCGGGTTGCGGGCTCCATCCCCAGTGGGGGGCGTGCAGGAGGCAGCCGATCAGTGACTCTCTCATCACTGATGTTTCTATCTCTCTCTCTCCCTCTCCTTTCCTCTCTCTGAAATCAAGAAAGATATATTTAAAAAATAAAATAAAATAAAAGTGGCCTAAAGTGTTATTATATATATAAAAAGTTGTACATGACATAGAAGATAATAAGTACATCAATATGTAAGTAAAATTAAGCAGCTCACCCTCTGCTTGTGTACTTGGTTCCATGTCTCTCCAGAAAGGAGGCAAGGGCAAGTCAGAACTGCTGGGAACGCTCCCACTGCTCCCAGCCAAACCAAATACCCACGAGAGTCTGAACTAGGCTGGGCCTCAGCCTGAGGGCAAGTGAAGAAATTTCCCAAATGAACAGGTGGCACCCAGAGAGGTGAAGGGTTCAGCAAAGGGAAGAAAAGGAAGCTAGCTGCATGTGATCTGAGTCCTCTATGACAGCGCTTCTCATCTTGGGATCTCATCAAAATGCACTGGGTCTGGGGTGGGATCTCGGGTTCTGCATTTGTAATAAGTGCGTAGGAGATGCCAGTGCTCTTGGTCTATGGACCACACTTTGAGAAGCAAGGGTCTACCATACAAAGAGTGAGCCACCTCTGGGCCACAAGTGTATCTTAGAAATCCTGAGCAGAACTGAGACCTGCTCCTACTCAAGCACATTCCCAGGCAAAAGGTAGATGCACTGCATACGTGAGCAGCTGGCTACAAAACCGTGTTAATGTATTTCCTGAGAGCACCATGACTACACGAACAGCTAAATAACTTAATTTACTGGAGTAAATGGAGCAGTCTATTTGCTGGTAATAAAATAAATCTTTCTCATGTAGTCCTCCTTAAAGTGGATATGATATAAAAATATTTTAAAAACCCAACATGTTGAATTTCATAGCAAAAGGCCACATGTGCACACACATATAGTATAAATTTTAAGAAATTAAATGCACTTTATCAGAATGTAGTGCTACCACTGCTCCCAGCTAAAATCATCTCCTCTTCCAAATACAAAGAAAAAATCTTGACCTTGAATTGTAAGGAAAATGACTGCATTGCCTGCCAGCACAAGGCCACAGGCTCCCCGTTTGATCACAGCCACAGGAGCAAGGATAACAGGAACCCCAAAGGCAGAAACAGCAATTCCAGTAGTGAAAAAGCATACTAGTTCCTGACAGGCACTGCTTGTTGCATCAGAGTCATATGTTGCCCTTTGGCAATGAAATGGGGAATGGAGAGATGGTGTAAAATATCAGGAAGAACAAGGGTCAGTAAACACCATAATCCTCTAAGGCACGTCTCAGCATAAGAAAAATCAGTCCAATAGCCCCACTGAGGGATAGTAACCCAAGAGCTTTAATGCCCGCCCTTGTCTCCCAAGCTCGGGTTGCGGCTGCTTTCAGTTTCCTGCCACAGTCCCCACCCAGGCCCACATAGAGGCCACAAATGTGTGTGTGTTTTTTTAAGTTCTTCGTAAAGTTTTGTTAATCTGGGACTCAAACTCAAGTCAATACTTCAGAATATCTCTCAGTGTTGTCAACTTTTACTTCAATCAGGGAGAGCTAACATGCATGGAAGCTTTTGGGGTTTCTTGGTTGGAAGTGTTACAGGGCAGTAAGGAGCTGGGAAAATCCCAGGGCAAGTGGAATGAGGAAACTGAGACAGGAAAGTTAAAACAAGGCCAAACAGGGTGGCAGTTTGCAGTCAGCTTGTACATAACAAGCCTTTATCTTCCCCAGCCAAGGACACTTGAGAGCTAATGGTTAAAAGCCTCCCTGGCCTGGCCGGGCGTGGCTCAGTGGTCGAGCATCGACCTATGACCCTGGCGATTGGGGTTCAATTCCTGGTCAGGGCACAAGCCCACCTTGCGGTCCCCTGTGGGGGTTGTGCAGGAGGCAGCCGATCAATGACTCTCTCATCATTGATGTTTCTCTCTCTCTCTTCCTCTCCTTTCCTCTCTCTGAAATCAATAAAGATTAAGAAAGAAAAGGAAAAAGAAAAAAAAGCCTCCCTAATGAGAGAATGCAGGAAGGGAGTGGGAGAGGGGAAAGGAAAAAAGGGCAGTTTTACTCCCTAAACAGAGAAGCCAGCAGTCTCAGGGCTTGGCAAGATAAAATTGCCAAGTGATTTCTATGAATTCTGGGAAGGCCACAACAAAGTAAAAACGGTTTCAGCAGAGGAATTTTGAGACCTAGACAGGAGGGTATAAAACGCCTTGGACCACCATCCAACTCAGACCCTTATCTGACTCGCTCTTTGCTTTTTTGATAAAGGTGCTTGCTTCAATTGCTTTAATAAAATTGGCTTTTCACAACACAATCAGGTCTCTTGTATAAATTCATTTATATGAGAAGACAAGGATCGAGGTTGGGGACAGCCCTCTCCCACTGACTCAGGGGGTTGTAGAATAAGACCTCTCTGGGGCCTCTGGGCTGCACCTCTAACAGGAGGAAAATTAAAAGTTGGTGTGGGGGAGTGGGAAAATTAAGTATACTCCTGTTCTGACCTGAAGATCTAGGCTCGACTAACCATAGGAAGAAGGAGGGCCATTTTGCACAAGGGACCATGAAACACAGGGACTCACAGTGCTGCCTCAGGATCCTGCAATACAAATTGCACAATCTAAGATTGAGTTTTTAAATTTAAAAAGGATGGATAGACAGTAAGTCTGTCCTTCAATATGTTTTCCTTTTCGCCAGGCCTGACCTCCCCTCCCTACCCAGAATATTTCTTATACAGAAATGATTTTGTGGCTTTGGCTCTTGATATAACTGCCACTATAGCAATCACCCCAATCTTCAGATATTCTCCCAGTCCCATCCAAACACCAGTCTCTCCTCTGGGGCCCTTCCTGATTTCCTCACATTCAGAGACCCTTCCCCTTCAGAGAACAGAATTGAGTTATTAGGTACCTGATTTCCTGCAGGTGCTTCGTGACTTGGTCCTGTTCAGTTTCTGACAGAAGTGCCTGAGAAAGCAGTGCTCTGGCCTTTTTATTTGGGGGAGAGATATACTTTCAGTTTCAGATTAGATTTGCTGCTTTGTCCAGAACTTGTGTAGGCTGTGGGAGCAGCAGGGGTGACTGCCCCTTCAATGTGAAGGGGAAAAGTGACACATAAAAATTCAAGCAGCTAAAGTAAATCATTCCTGATATCTCCCTTTTCCCCACTTCAGCTTTCTTAAAAGTTGACAAGGACAAATGAAAAATCTTGCCTTCTCTACAATTATTAGTAATATCATTATGTGTATGATAAAAAAAAAATTCCCAAATGTGTATTTTTTTAGGATCATGCAGTCTGGGAAAATATTTTATACTAAAGGTGGTTTAAATTTGGTTAATGTCTTTTAGCATTATTAACATAAAAATATTTGTTTTGCCTGGGTTTACCAAAAAAAGGTTCATATTATGTCTGTTATGTCTCTTAAAAACATGAGTGTATTTGCGAATGAAAAAACCTGTTTCTAGAAGTTATAAAATGTATTCATAAATTTGCTAATCTAAAGAATGCTAGCTGTGACTAAAAATTACGGTTTCTAAGAATTAAGAATTGTAATTGAAAAAAACTGTATGGTTTTGGTAATACAAGGTATAAGGTATGAGGATATATTTTTAAAGAAATAAGAAGAAAATAGGTTATTCTAAAGTTGGTTATTTCTGAATGAGTTAAAAAGAGGCCAGCCCGGCTGGTGTGGCTCAGTGGTTGAGTGTTGACCCAAGCAAGAATCAAGAGGTCACCAGTTGGATTCCTGGTCAGAGTCATGCCCTGATTGCAGGTTTGATCTCCAGTAGGGGGCGTGCAGGAAGCAGCCAATCAATGACTCATCACTGATGTTTCTATCTCTCTCTCCTTCTCCTTTCCTCTCTCTCTAAAATCAATAAAAAACACATTTTTTAAAAAGGGAGAGGGAAAAAAACAATTGTTATTTCCCCACAGGAGTCCTGGGTACAATTGACAGTGGGGAACAAATTAATTTTTTAGTTGATACTGGAGCTACTTATTTGGTTCGAAAGTGGCCAAAAGAAGTCAGGCAACCATCTCAGTATCAGGAATTGTTGAACAGATTCAACAAAAGGCCTTTCTTCTACCTTCCAAGTGTTTAAATTTTAAAAGACTTTTTTTAAAACCTAGAAATGGCTTTGAGTTATCGCAGTGGGTTCCTGGAATACCTTGAGGATGTGTTTCCTCTCCTTACAAAACAGAAATTTTAAACTAATTAGGCCTACTTGATATACCTGAAGGACATGGGAAGCTTTGTCAAATAAAGAAATGATAACTATTTTCTTTTTTAAGTATATCTTTCTTGATTTCAGAGAGAGGAAAGGAAAGGGAGAGAGAGAGATAGAAACATCGATGATGAGAGAATCATTGATCGGCTGCAGCCAGCAACCCAAGCGTGTGCCCTGACAGGGAATCGAACCCTAATCGCCTGGATCCTAGGTCGATGCTTAACCGCTGAGCCACACCCGGCCGGGCTATTTTCTATTTGTATTCAGTAGGTAAATGTTTCCCCCTTTCTTTCTTTGGATGGCTAAAATTCGGTTGCATTTCATAAAGGCTCTAAGATGAGCACATGGAACAGAGCAACTAGTCGCTTGTGGTGGACAGCTCAGTAATGCATCCCTGTCCTGGCTTCCCCATTTCCCCTCTTACGCTCTGTGACCCAGAAGGCAGAACTCTGCAGCTGGATCGAGGGACTCACAGGCCTGTGTATCGGTCCCAACTTCCAGAAGAGTCTGTATATAAACTTTTGCTTCAGGGAACCACAGAATGAGAGATACAATTCCTTGCATGTCTGAAAATGTTTCTATTCTATCCCACACTTGATTTTGTTTGGCTGGATGTAAAATTATGGATTAAAAGTATTCTTTGGAAGGCATCTGTTTTCCCTATTCTCTCCCCACCCCCAAAGCTTTGAGAATCTTCTCTTTATCCTTAGTTTTCTAAAAATTTCACAAGAACGTGTCTACATGTGGGTCTCTTAATTCTTTATACTGGAAAATTGGTGGCCCCTTTAATCTGGAGACTTGGTCTTTAACATCCAGGAAAATCTCTCATCCTTATTCTTTAATGATTTCTTGCCTTTGGTTTTCTTTCTGAAGGAGACCTTTTTTATTAGAAGTTGTACTTCCTAGACTAATCTTCTATTTCTGTTATCATTCTCTCATATCCTGTGTTCTCCGACCTAGGAGATGCACATGAATTTATCTTCTAAACTTCTATTGAGCTCATTAAAAATTTAGCAAATATTTTTAATATCTAAGAGTTCATTGTTCACTTCTGATTGCTCCTTTAGTTACTTATTTATTTATAAATTTTGTTTATTGACTTTTAGAGAGAGAGAGGAAGGGAGAGAGAGAGAGAAACAGTGACTTGTTGCTCCGCTCATCTATGTGGAACAGCACTGGCTGACTCTTGTATGTGCCCTGATCGGGGATTGAGCCTGCAACCTTGGCGTATCGGGACAATACTCCAATTAACTGAGCCATCCTGCCAAGGCTGATCGTTCCTTTATAAATAATATGTTACTATTTTATCTTGGTCATTCTCTTTTATCTTGAAGGCTTTCTTCAAATGTCTGGTTATCTTTGTCATGTTTATATTTAAGAACAAGACCATAAAGACCTGACTTGGTAGCTTTGGGTACATGCACTGGCTTATTATTTGTACTTTACCTTGATGTGGATGAATGCAGGTACCTTTCCACAACGGTCAGTACAGGTTAATGGCTATTCCTAGGCCTAACTCAGCTGCATGGATCTAAATTTCTCTTTTCTAGAAAGAGCTAGAGAAGAAAGACTGGGCCAAAAGGTGACTTCTTCAAATGGGATAGATGTAACATCAGTCACATTAGGCCTGCATGTAACCAGGGCTCAGATATTTTGGGGGATCCTTTGCACCACCCTTCACTCCCACTACTCTTATCCACTGAAGAAGAATCTTTATCTTTGGCCTTGTTCCATCAAAGCTATTCTATCAGAGGAGAGTGGCTCATTAGTCTTTGGCTTATTTCTCCCAATACTTAGTCTTAGGAATAAGGACCTATCACTAGTTTAATGCACATAATCGCAGATAAAAGTTTAGGAAATATTATCTACCTTAAGGAATTCATATATTTGTCTGGGAGGGGCCCCCTTTAATATTTTGCTTGTCACATGGTTGATGCTCAATAAGTGTTTTTTTAATCAATGACTCTTGATTTGCAGATGCTTAAATGAACCCTCTTAATGGTCAGGATTCATTCTAGAGGTTGGACTTGGACTCATTATGCAGATGACATTAAGTAAACAGTAGAGAGATTGTATCTATAGAGGCTGAGGAATAGGTAGAGCTTCTTGCTAAAAATTTGGAAGAGAGAAAAAGTTACCAGAAACCTTGCCTACTTCTCATTCTCTCTAATCTTGTTTCTGAATTGATAAAAAAAAGTAACTATACAAAATGTTTACAGGGCATTATATATAACAGTGAAAAAATCAGCAACAGCATGACTATCTAAAGCTAGACGAACAGCTAGTGGATAAAATGATGACTATGCAAAAAATTACACACTTATATTTACATCGAGAAATAAAGACTATAAAGAAACATGAGGAAATAAAAGTAGTTTCTGGTTTGGGATGCTTGGCCTTAAGAGTGAAATGAAGTTTTTTTTCTCTTTATGATGTTATAAGCTGGTGCTGTTATAAATACTGAAGACTTAGCCTTTATCTCTTCGCCAAACTTGTACAAAATTTGGGACAGATAGACAGCCAGCAAACCTTAACTATAATACAGCAGCCAGAAAACTGTTTTCTGAACTGGGGGTGGAATGACATTTCTTCTGACCTCTTCCTTTCCTTTCCTAACTTCATTCTTAGAATAAAGTGAAATTATATTTAACATTTCTACACCACAAAGTGGTGTAAAAAAATCATCTTGGTTTCCATCCAGAAGTCTGCTAATTTAGTAAGCTGACAGAAGTTCCTCAATGCTCTTACAACCATGCATCCTCTTGCACAATATATGTTTATTTATTTTTAAAATATGTTTTAATATTTTTAAAATATGTTTTGATTTCAGAGAGAGGAAAGGAGAGGGAGAGAGAGACAGACAGAAGCATCAATGATGAGAGAGAGTTATTGATTGGCTGCCTCCCGCATGCCCCCCACTGGGGATCGAGCCCAAAACCTGAGCATGTGTCCTCACTGAGAATCGAACGGTGACCTCCTGGTTCATAGATCAGTGCTCAACCACTGAGCCACGCCGGCCGGGCCACAGTGTACATTTAAAAAGAAGTTTTGGTCTTCTTTCTATGCAATGAGGCAGTAGAGAAGCGTCCCGTGCAGACACAGAGATGAAGATCTTTGTGAAGACCCGGACCAGCAAGACTATCACCCTCAAGGTTGAGCCCAGTGATACCACTGAGAGTGTCGAAGCTAAAATCCAAGATAGGGAGGGCATCCAGGCTGACCAGCAGTGTCTGATTTTTGTGAGCAAACAGCTGGAGGATGGCCGCACTCTCGCAGACTACAATATTCAGAAAGAGTCCACCCTGCACTTGGTACCTCATCTGCCCCAGTGTCATCATCAAGCCCTCCGTCTGTCAGCTTGCCCGAAGTGCAGCTGTGGTAAGATGATCTGCCACAAGTGTTATGCCACCTGCCTGCACCATCCCTGCACTGTCCGCTGCCACGGGAAGTGCCATGGCACCAACAATCTGTGCCTCAAGGAGATTAAATAAGTCCCCTTCACCACCTTCTTGGGCCTTCAGGACAGCCTTCTGCCTGAACCCCATGACCCTGGGGCCTCAATAAAGTTTTCCTTTTGTTGACTGGAACAATAAAAAATAAAAAGAAGAAGTTTTAATGTCATAGGGCGATGCTTACTTGAAAGTGAAAAGAGAGTAGGATATAAATTTTTATGTACTAAACTGTTTAATAATAATAGCAATTGCCATTTACCAGGTGATCTTCTAATTGTTTTACATGTATTAACTCTTCTGATCCCCACACAGCCTTAAAGGATAGGGGCAATTTTTGCTCCCATTTTATAGATGATAAAACGGAGGCACAGAACACTGGCTAGATGGCTCAGTTGGTTGGAGTGTCATCCTGTCCACCAAAAGGTTGCAGATTCACAAGTTCAATTCCCAGTCAGGGCACATACCTAGGTTTTGGGTTCAATCTCCCATCTCTCGCATCAATGTTTCTCTCTCTCTCTCTCTCCTTCTCTCTCCTTCCTTCCTTCCTCTCTCTTTCAAATCAATAAATATATCCTCAAGTGAAGGTTAAAAAACAAACAAACAAACAAACAGAGGCATAGAGGAGGTGGGACTTGCCCAATGTCATGCAATCAATACATGGGGCAGGAGCTAGAATTCAAACGCAGGCTGTCTGGTTTCAGAATCCATGCTTGTAACCAAAAATACTTAGGACAAAGTACATGAAAACTTTGTGGTTCCCTCTGTGAGTTAGGATTTTGTTATTTATCCTAACTTACTACCTTTCAGCTTTCTGACCATTAGTGCCAAGTTGTTTCCCAGCCTCCAGGCCTTTTCATTCCAATAGGCAGCTCTTCCTTGACTTGCTGTTCTATTAATTGCTATTCAGTCTTCTACTCTCCGCCTAAATATCTTTTCCCATGAAGCCACCCTGAGTTCCTATGCAAAGCTGGATTCTTCACAACTTCCTGTTCGTGCTTCTTTTTTCTAGCATTGAGCACAACTGTACTTAATAATTTCTGGAGTAAGTTTTTTAAATAGCTGCCTTTCCTACCACCCCACTCCTCCTCTGCTGTAGGCTATGTGAAAACCAGGTCTGTGTCTATTTCACCTTCAGATGCCCAGAACAATGCCTGACCCACAGTAGATGCATGAGAGGGTCTTACTATGTAGCAGACCAGCAGAGCAGACAGGTTGGGAGGAGGCACAGCCTGGGGGTCCCTCTCTCTGTGTTCTAATATGGATGCAGTGGAAGGTGCTGGAATCAGACAGATAGCCCTGAATTAAAATATCAACTTGGCAAGCTGTACAAACTTAGGCTACAACTCTCACATTCTGAGATCTGCTTTCTTTCCTATAATATTGGGTTGATAATACTACCTCACACCTATAAGAGTGCATAAATAACACAAAGTAGGTACTCAATAGTTAAATGGATTTATTAAGCATTTGGAGAAGAATGAAATGTGAATATTTTCAAGTTTCTTAACTTCTCTGTATCTGTTTTCTAATATATAACATGAGATAATAAATGAACAAATACATCTATTTTATGGGTGTATTGTGAGAATTCAAGGATATAATTTATACAATGCACAGAACCTGTGACAGGCACAGAGTAAATGCTCAATTAAGGTTAACTATGATTGTTATTGTTAAGGGTAAAGCACTTTCTGCAGTGCCTGGTGCACAGTGGATACTCCTAGACAGGGGGGCATAGTGTCATTGACTTGTCCTGGGCTGAGTTCCATCCAGTTCCTCCTAAGGCTGTGTCCTGGCCCTGGGTGCACTCCCAGGTTCCAGAGTTGGTGAGTAAGTACCACCCCATGGCCACCATCAGCTACTACAGCCTCAACCTCAGATCATACCCTGCTCTAGGGTTGTTCCATCCAAACATTAGAACACCCCTGAACATTTCCTTAGGAGACCAGGAACAGTGGAGACAGAACAGAGGGAATAGATTTGAGAGATAACCCAAGAAGGTATATTCGACAGGATTTTATGACCAGTTAAGTGTCCAGGGGAAGGGAGGTGGATCTGTCTAAGAGAGTGGTTCTCAATAACCTTGGGTTGTTGCACTGGCAAGCCTGATGGGCTATTTTGCGTAACAGAGGACATTTGGCAATGTCTGGAGACATTTGTCCCAACTGGGGTAGGGGTGCTACTGGCATCTAGTGGGTAGAGACCAGGGTTACTGCCAAATGTCCTGCACTGCACAAGACCACTCCCCACAATAAAGAATTAGCCAACCCAAAATGTCAAGAGTGCAGAGGTCAATACATCCTGGTCTGGGATGATTTTCAGAGTTTTACCTGGGCATTCAGGGCATCAAGAAAAGCTGTGAAGCCTGGCCGTGAGGTTCAGTGGTTGAGCATCGACCTGTGAACCAGGAGATCTCAGTTTGATTCCCGGTCAGGGCACATGCCCAGGTTGGGGGGGCCACATCCCCAGTAGGGAGCCATGCAGGAGGCAGCCAGTCAGTGACTCTCTCTCATCATTGATGTTTCTATCTCTCTCTCCCTCTCCCTTCAATAAAAACATTCTGAAATCAATAAAAACATTTTAAAAAGAGAAAGAAAAGAAAAGCCTGCCACATGAACTGTTACTACCATATACAGCTCAAGGATTAGATAAGTCTGAGGAAAACCCTACCCAGGAACTAACACAGCCTATAGGATTCTCTAGAATCACAGAAGGGGAAACATTATTATAGATCATTTATTTCTTTAAGTTATTATATTTATAATCATAATATATATCTTTAATACTATTGCTGATGGTGTATACAGTTATTAATCACACTGAAGGACTTAAACAGAATACACGTCATATTAGCTAGAAATTCTCAAAACAGATCTCATAATGTAAACTCAGGAAGCAGATGAGGCCTGTTGTTCAGCAGGAAGCAGCAGGTCCAGGAAGGTAAACCAGGAAGACAGGACCTTCCTGTGTGCCTGGAAAGGAAAGAAATGTTTCAGAACATAGGCCTTTTAGACCTTTCTAGCAACACACACTTCAATCAATAATTCAGGCAGAGGGGCTCTCAGGTCCACTCCTCTGGACTCCCAGCTGGAAATCCCTCTCACTACCAGGAATTCCTGCAATATCTAGGAAGATTGCAAGGACATTGTCTTTCAGTTCTTGTTCTCTCTATTGGAAATTCCAACCTGAGAGTCTCAGGTAGTTGAGCTGGCAAGCCTGATGGACAATTTAGCCCCTCCTGCTTCTAGATCTTGGCTCTTCAGGCTGCAAGTCCTCAGCTCTGAGAGACTTAGCACCTTGGATGCAGCTCCCTGTAAGAGAGACTTTTCCTGTGAGGGCCTGGAGTGACTCTGGCCATCATAGAGGTCCCTCTGCTTGTCTCCCTCCACCCTGAATGTATCTCTGGCTCTGGCCTCACTGAAATCCTATTGTTTGCAACAAATTCTTTCTCTGACCAAAGTTGTTGTGAGATATTTGTCCTACTCACATGTTGTTTGTTTTTTCTGACTCTTGATGAAATCTAGCTTCTTTACCAGTATTGGGTGGTAATCCTTACATTCCAATGTTGGGTAACGTCTCTCTTCTGCTGGCTTATTTACCTGTTCCCATTAAGGCCTGATGTGAATTTTTAAAAAAAATTTTTTAAACTCCTTGGAAAATTAAAATTCCCCTAGAATTGAAAACAATACTGAAACTGAAAACTCTTGAATTTCCGTTTTCTGTCTTTGGAATGCTTCTATTTTTAGAGACATTTCAGAGCACACTTTCACGGAAATACCTTAGACTCTAAACAAAATTTTAAATGACTCCACCTTTGAAATCTTGAGGTCCACCCTCTTGTTTTCTGATCACACTCCCCTTCCGTCCAGCTTTCAGGTTCTTCCTCCTAGAACACTAGTTCCCAATCTCCTTCAATCACATGGCCACCACCTCAGGTCAGACACCTGGATATTTGCCCTTATTTTAGTGCAGTAGTCACACCATTCTGTCTGAACAGGTCTTCTGACTCCCCTGACTCTTTCCATTGCCACACATTCTGGTATTTTTCCATAACTCATGTTCCTTGTTATCCAGCAGATCTTTCTGACCTTTCTGCACAGCAGCGAGGCTGAGAGCTTGGCTGGACTAGACACTGCCTGAGCTGCTGTCTACTCCAGGACGTCAGCCCTGCCTTTTTAGGAACCTAATACTCTTCAGCAGTTGGTTGAAGGCCCTGTTGTTCTCTGCCCGGTGGCTTCTGGTACCAGAGCACTCCCCCTTCTATTACATGATGGCCCCCCCACTCCCACCTGAAACACAGTCCCAGACTCACCTGAACCTCTGGAGAAGTAGTTGAAAATACTGTCTGTATGGTAGTGAGAATGTGGGCCCCTTCCCAAGCTCCGCCTCCCCGCCCCACCCTGTGGGACTATGATTTAGGCCATCGGTAAGTGGACTGTGAGAACTTGGGAGCCTGGCCAGCTCCTCAGGGGTCAAGAAAGGGCCAAACAGAAACTGCTTCCAGATTGAGCCCAGACTGTCAACAACTGCAGAGAAAGAGCGTTTCATCTCACACAGCTTGTGCTCCAGCATGTCCACCCCAAACCCCCACCCCAACTCCCCGCATGCCTTGTTTTCTGTACTCTACATAACCTCATCTTGAGAAAGCCTGAGAGGCAAGGAAAACTTTACCACCCGGCCACCACCAGTGAGCATGTGCGTAAGTCCTAATAAACCCACGTCTTTCACAGCCAGTCTTCGGTTATTTCTTTGGAATCGGCAAGCCGTACGCTGAGGTTTTCTCAGACCTCGGCTCTTTGCATAACACTGTCATATAAAATAATATTAAAGATTAATTTTTTATCTTTTGACAAACTGTTGACATTCCAAAACTTATAGCCTGGAATTCACACTTCATCTTTACGTGGATGAAAAGCATATTCTTTAATAGAAATTCTTGAGAAGATTCTGATGTCAAAAAATGGATCCTCTCTGCTAAATTAAGGTGGATGAGTAGCTATTTGTTGAGAAAAAGACATAAGGCAAATTGCCCGCTGTAA